CTGTCTCCGTGCTTGATCACCCTCATAGTCAGAAAGTCCTTCCTTGTCTCCAACCCAAATTTCCTTTGCTGCAATTTGAGGTCCTTGCTCTTAGTCCTGTTCCATACAGCTGCAGAGAATAATCTATCTCTATCCCCTTTACACAGGTTTCCCTTGCTTTATGCTGTACATGTGTTCCTGGAAAACGGCACATAACTCGAATTAGCATAAAGGAAACCCACTTTACAATGTAACAAATAGGGATACATTCCAAGACCTCGACTGTACTGACCATCCGGACCCATTTCTACCACTTTTACAAGACAATTTTGGTGCTCACCAACAGCAGACAATACACACAAGCACAGGATGCAGTGGTGAATATTTAATTGGTGTGAAGAGAGGGTGGTGAAGGGTCTTTGGTGTCAGACTCCACATCACTGGTAGGAGGTACAGGCAGGGTAACATCCATAGGAGAATCAGCAGGCACGGGGCTCTCATCACCCTCCACCACCAGTGGGGTGGGGCTGGGGGTAGCTGAGTGAGGCTTAGAAGCCATAATGGGGATGGCAACCACAGAAACACGTGTTGCAGACAACAAGCGAGGAGCATAGATCCACACAGGAGTGTATTTTGGTGCATGTCACTCCCACAATGCACCTCACAAAGCAGCTGACTGCGGGCTTCCACCACACCAATCACATAAGAGTGAATTTACCTTGCATATAATGAATTGTTGATATAAAAAGGGTCATCTCATAAGAGCGAATTCACACGTACAGAACCCGCATAAAGCAAGGGAAACCTGTAATCATCTTTCAGGTATTTGAAGATTGTTATCCTATTTCTTTCAGCTTTTCATCATAAATCTTGCTTCTTAGCCTCCAATCATTTTTGTTGCTCTCTGCTGGACTCTTTCCAGTCTATTCCTATCTTCCTTGAAGTATGGGGCCCAAAACTGGACACAGTACCCCGGGAGAGGCATCATCAGTGCTGACTACAGTAGAAGAATCACTACCCTAGATTTACAAGTGACATTCCTGTTAATACAACCAAGTATGCTGTTGCTGTTTTTGCAGGAGCACCTGGTCCTCTGAGGGTTTTCTGCAGTACTGCAGCCTAGCCAATCATTCCCCAGTCTGTATTTGTGCATGCAGGTATTCCCTCATTTAAACTGCAACCAGTTACAGAAAAGGGAGACAAAGAAGTGGAAAAGCTGTACTATGCAGCAAGCTCTCACCTCCACCTTTATTATTGTTATTTTACTTGTTCGTTTACCTTTTAGTAGTACCTAAAGGCCTCAAACTGGTTGCAAGCTCACTGGACTGGATGCTGCAGAATTACAGAGTACAGGATGGTTCCTACTGCAAAGAGCCTGTGGCCTTCAGTTTAAAATAAGACACAACAAGTGGGTGAAACAAAGCATTGGAAGGAAAAATAGCAGTAGTGGTAATGCGATGACTGACCTTGGGCACACGTGTCAGATTGTATTTGCATCCTTGACTAGACAAATAAAATATATCACTAGCGACTTTCTCACTTGATCATGTGTCTGGCTGTTATCAGTTGGCAGTGCTCTATAGGCATCACAGTAAAAGTAGGTCTCAAGTCAGGATCTGAATGGGGTATTTAGATAAGTGCAAGGATGGTAGTCAGCACAATAATTACCCTCTATAACTCCTATGATAAACACAGGTTTCAGCATTGACTTCCCCTCTGTGACATTTATTGCCTTCAGCTCAGGAGGCCTGGCAAGGAACCTAGCAGGCACCAATCCAACTGTTCTCCCGAGGCAAAGGAGACTGGGAACGTGTGCTGAGGGCCTAGCTGAGATCGAGATTGCCTTCACAGGGGTGCCTCCGATTGCAAATGCTCACAGAGCTATGAGCTCCACAAGGTTGGCAGGCCACACGTCCCTATTCCTTCTGTGCCACAGCTAATCTTTCTGATAAAGTAGTAGAAAGCAGTGTGGTCTCCATGCAGACAAGCCCACACTGGTTTGAGTACAACCTCCTCTCTCTGCTTCGTGTGGAGGGGGGTGAATTAGGTCTTGTGGCTTCTCCACCCTGGCCATTTCTCAGCCAGTGGAAAACAATTAGGAATGTTCAGCCATGTCTGATAAGGAACAATAACCAGAAGTCACCTCTCTCTTCTCTTCTGATTAGACTGTGCAGGGTGTTCTATTCATGCGCCCTGGTGAATGAACAGATTGGACATTAGTACAGGCCAACAGAGGACTACCAGAAGCAGTACTGATGACCCACACGGTTTTAAAAAAATACTCCAAAAATCTTGAGTGCTTTCTTGTGTTTTTTATCTGTTGGACTTTTTAACCACCTACTTGGTGTGTGTATGTGTGTGTGTATATGTGCATTGGCGATGCGTAGGGGGTGCATGCAGGTGCACATGCACCCCCTGAGCTTCGCCACTGCCACTGCAGGCAGTGCCTGTGTGTGGTCAGCACTTGCCACCCCACCTCCCGCCAGAAGCTCCCCGCTCACTGCCACCACACTCCCACTGCTGCTGCCACCGCCGCTGCTGCCTGCAGGCAGTTGCCATGCCCCCGCAGCTTTGGGAGGCATGCAACATGTGTGTGTGTGTGTGTGTGTGTGTGTGTGTGTGTGTGTGTGTGTGTGTGTGTGTGTGAAAATTATCACCGCCAGATCTTTCATAGTTGAGTCAGAGGAATTGGGATGCTGTGACAGGTGCTCCCACTCCACATCTATCCCATCCACTGCTCAGCAGTTGAATTCTTGTCTTCCTCCAGCTCCATATTATATTCTAATCCCACATCTTTCCAAATTCCTAAGACTCTCATATCACTGTAATGTGCGTATTTAGGTATCTAAGATAGAAACAGAGCCATCTATTTCTTTACCAAGATGCATGTTTATCTGCACAGAGCTCTGCTGTTCTTCCAAATGAATGAAATTTGGGTTCTCTTGCAAACTTCCAACCCAGTCCAAGTTTTTCGTGAGCTTTTCAAGCCAAAATGTACCTCACATGAAACTTGGGGAGTGCAAGAGAGTTACATTGTGAATTTCTGGAGTAGTTGGAATGTGAATTTCAAAGCAGAGCTCTTGGTCTACAAACCTGTGTGAACCAAAATGGATGCCAAGTTTGGCACAGTTCAATATATAAATCTAAACTGGCAACTGCTTAGAAGAGCACAGCAAAAAACAAAACACTAGAATTACAAATTGATATATAAATGGAATCAAATTTTGGTTCGCTTCCAACTGTAATAGGGCATTGATCTACAGTGCAGTAATCTTTCTGCAAAATTTGAATATAGAATTAAAGTTTAAACACTTCCAAATTTCAGTGGATTTTTAGATCAGGAGTTTTGGTTCAGTTTATAATAACGATAAAGACCCTATGAAGATGAGGGAATCAGAATCTTTGATTTGCCCGTAATAAAGCACAGGAACTATTTGTAAAACTTAGATCTGAATCAGAATTTGGTTCCCTCTCTACTTTTGATGAAACCAGCTGATCACTTTGATTTCAATGACAGCTTGATCTGGCCCTTTAAGAGATTTCAAAATGAAACCTTTGGCCTCGCTGAAATGAAGCATAGGAGGTTCAAGATACTCTCATGATCTGGCCCTTTAAAAGATTTCAAAATGAAACCTTTGGACTCACGGAAACGAAGCACAGGAGGTTCAAGATACTGTCCTCGTGTGTTTGCACAACTCAAGTTAAACAACGGTATATCTACTTGCTCTAATTACAAAATACCACACCCACAATAATGCAATAAGATTTGGCTGCAATCGTCACACGATTCAAACAAGACACTAGTTTGTGACCTGAGACTGCTGAGCTGCAAGGTCTGTTTCTTTAACACAGCTCAAAACAGGACTTAGCCTCCCGTGTGAACCAGCAGGAAAGAGATTTTGGGGAACCAAAAGTGCATTTGCCTTTTATATTTCTTACAGTCAGTTCCATTTTATCAGATCCAAGTTGCAGTGATGAGTTTGCAGCTATTTGAACCTTCTTATAAAACTCTATTAGAAATACAACCATATTGAGAAATCCATTACCATAGCTGCATTACTTATGGTGCTGAAAGAACTTCAATTGTAATATAAATGGGCCATGACTTTACGCACCTCTTCTAAAGAAGTTCTTTTGTTGGCTTGGCCAAAAACCAACATTTATCCCTCTGTTTCTTTGAGGTTCCATGCAACTCAGTCTGGGAACTCTTGTTAGAGCATGCAGATGCCACAGTGGGGGATTGACTCTGATCTCTGGCTTGCCTTCTCTGCTCCCGTTGTTTTGTAAGCCCTCTAGTCATCATAATCCTCCAGTCTTCATGAAACCTGAATTTCTGATGTAAAAAAGCCCCAAACATCTTAGAACAGTGCAGAACCTTGAGGCCCTCCTAATGTATTGTGAAATACAGAAACTTGGCTTTTATCCCCTTGTTCTGCATATCACCGTTGAGTGCAAGGCACACTTATGGTGCTATAAAAGCATAAAGAATCATTGCACATACTGTGATTTTCCCTCTGCTCTCATTCAAGTCAATAGGAGAACTCCTATTGGGTTGGGAGGGAGCAGAAATGGGCCTTGTATATACTAAGCACTGGGTCTTGGTGAATAGGCATGGTGAAGGAGAAATGTGTTAGGTTAGGAGGGCATAGAGAGCCACAAATCAAGTTTTTAATGGAAATTGTCCTTGGCTGAGCTAAGGTTTATTGTAATCCATGTGGCGGTCACACTGTAATAAATACTGGACTTTTTTAATCCATATTTTGTCTTGTAGGGTTTTTGGTTTTTGGTTTTTATAATTTACTGCCAACTGTGTCCGACTTAACTACAACTGATTTCTAATTCCTTAATTTGATGGCAAAAATATTGCCTTGGACTAAATACTGAATACTAAAATACTGAGGACCCTATTTGAAATCAGAAAAGTTATATTAGTTACCCATACTTAGAGTTGGGTGTTCCCTATACTATCATATATCCCTCAACACAAATGGGTCTCTTGGCTTATACACCCAATCTTGAACATGAAGTTCTTCGATGACAAAAGTTATTTTTCCCTACGCTTATTCTTTCAGCTTACTATGGGTTCTGTTTCCACAATGAATAAGACAACAATGGTCTGTCCTTTCCTGAATGGCAACAGTGAAGAAAATCCAGAAAACCAAACTGACACCACCTGGACTCCTCCCAACTTGCCCAGTAAATGCACATGGACAGCAGAGACACCCAGCTCTGAGTCACCTCATTCTTGTATGCCCTTGTAAGTAACTGCTTGTGTTAGCTGGGTTCTGAATACAGAAAATCTAGTGTCACCTGAAGTTATGCCTCATGGATCCACTCGAATATGCATAGTCAGATTCAACATTTTAAGCAATGGTTTATATTGGTAATATTTTCTCCCCAAAGGATCCTTCAGGTTCTAATATTAATTGTCCATGCAGTACTGCCCTTCCTGTCTTTAACATCACAGAAGGATGCAGCTGACTCACAGTCCAGCTCTGCATGCTCAAGTGCACATACAGAGGGCTACATAGTCAAAAACGTCATTTGGAGAATCAGGTTTTCAGAGGTTGAATTAAACTGGAATTTGAAATGCTCAGCGCTGCTGCAAATCAGGCCCCTAGGGGGCTGAAGTTAGGAACCAGAAAGCTAAGGTACTCATAATTAGCAGGTGCTTTGGAAGACTGCAACTATTAGGTACTATTGCTTTTTTAAACTACTGCTCTTTATAGCATTGTTAATGCACAAAGAACATTGACTAAGCAAGCAGTTCTGCCACCTTCCTCGCAGAGGGTGGTACTGTTCTGTAGGACTGATCATTAGTATTGTAAGGCAATACAGGAGAAAGAATTGCTAATACTTTGTGGTCCTACAGCAAAACACTTTACCAATGTTAATTAACTAGGCATTAACCCCATTGTATTGTATCCACTCTTCTCAGATGGGGAAACTGTCACACACAGAGGCACAGAAGAAGCCATTTTCACAAAAGGTGTCTGGTAGAGGTAGAAAATGAATCCAAATCTCCCTAGTCCAGTACCATGAGCACAATACTGCTCTTCCCCTCATACTAGATGACCTTTCCTCTCATAGTGATGTAGCACTACAGAACAAACTAAACTGGTGGCTCTCTAAATATCCTGCAAGCCAAGCCAAGTCAATCTATATAAATAAGGGTTGCCCTATATATTTCAGGATGACTACCAGTCTCCAAGTCTAAATGAACAACAAGTGGACCTAAGAACAAGGGTAGAGTCTGTGTAATATTGGAAGTAATCAGACAAGGAAGCTTTTTCTGTTCTCGAAGTAGAAAGTCAATTAAATGTAGGAAAGGCTCTAGTAAACACCACTATTAGCTGGGTCAAAACTGAAAGACCTGGACCCATCTCTCTCTATAGCAGGTCTGAACTGAAGCCCCTAAACACAAACTTTCCAAAACTTTGAGGAAGAGAGTACTTGAATTTTGAAGCAGTGTCCAGTTCTAATTGCTTTCCACAGTACTTCTATGGACAATGTGCCCTCAGACAACCATCTGATTTGACTGCTTAATAGGAGAAGCAATTACCTGTTCCTGTTTGACATCTGCAGCAACCCCCTATAACACAGCTCAGTTTTGAGCCAATACTTGTGCAAAGAAAGTGGCACAAAGCAGTTTTTAAATGAGAAGTTACAATAACTTCTGTAACTTTATTATCCAACGTTGGTTTCCCAGCAGGGCCTCTCTTTATCTATGAATAAGGTTGTTAAGTTTTACAGAGTAGATTGCCAGTTCAATAGCCAGTAGACAGAATCCAGCAGCAGTCTCTTTTATAGGGTTCACATGACACTCCATTCTGTCCAGGCCACCCTGCAATGGTGTATCTGAGCAATGAGGTAGCAAAACAAACTATTGTTTCTTATATTGCCCCTGAAATTTTGCTAGTGCTCTTCCTTCCTACTGTACTATAAGGTCAGCACCCTCCTTCCCACTTGAAACTTAAAACATGGGTGACTACTGAGATATTCTGAGTGATTTAGAAAGGACTCTGTTTCACCCTCTCTAGTGTTTATAATGTATTTAACCACCTACATGCATCAAGCTTTTCTCCTGACTGGAGCATGCTCTCTGTGGTCAGTCACTGTGACAGGCTCATGTCCCACTTAGCAAGGTGCTGGTATCCCGATGGCCAGTCTGTGGGAGAATCAGCTGGCACCATGTGGCCAGAAGAAGCCCTGCCAGTTTGTCTGATGCCTAAAGGCTCCAGGTATGAAAGGAGCCCAGAAGCTGAACCATAGGGGGAGAAGAGAAAGCAGTGGCAGCAGAACTGGAAGCTCTCGCTGCAGCTGGAGCAGAGTCAGCATGCCCCTGTCAAGGGATCGCAGCTGGAGAAGCAGCACCTGCCCATCCCATAGCTGGAGCATCCAGGGAGGGCTTGACCTGCCTCCTAGGAACTGGAGACTTCCCTAGGAGCAGAATCACTTGGCAACACTGACCCGGCGCATGGGAGAAGCAGTCTAGGAATGCACGGGTCAGCTGGGGTTGGGACAGAGCATCCCAGTGGGCATGGCCAGGGCCCATGTCAGGGACAACCCTGCTTGGGAGTTCTTCCATCCACCTCACCCTGCCTGTGTGACTACAGAACCAGAGCCTCCCAGTTAAGAGGTACTAGAATCATGAGTTGCATAAGCATAAAGAAATGCTTAATGGGATATTATGGTACGCGGCCAGGTGCTAGCCAGCCCAAGTCATAGGTTCAATCCAGGGATACCTGCAATGTGGCAGATATTGTTTGGTTGCTCATTTTGTTAGCCCATGAGGCTGTGGTCATACTCCTACAGGCAGCTGTCAGACCAGACCTGAATGTAGAAACAGTGCCACCTTCATCACACCAGGATAGCATTGAGGCTGATCTGTACCACTTGGGCGGAAAGGGGTGGGGTGCAGGAGAGAAGGAGCCCCACGGAAAAAGTGCCAATAGAGCCACCTGGGGTCCGAGGGAAACCATTGAACACCTCTAGGTAAAACCTCAGACAAGAAGTTGTGGAGGGTGAGTAGGCAAAACCAAACAGGTAGAGCATGCTGTCGATGGTATGGCGATTGTGGGCCTGCCACATTTGGTGCATTGGGCAGGAAACAAGGTGACCCATGAACCGATCAGCCATGGATGAGATGGGGGCCATGAGACCAGACGAAACCTGGCAGTAAACATAGAGGATGATCCTGCAACTGCTACAGGAACTTACACAGGCAAAATCTGGGAAAATGCTGGCCCATGGCGCCTTGTTCTCCTGCCAGCAGAACTGGGCAGAATAACTGGCTAAGGTCCAAGTGGCAGGAGGCAGTAGTCATAAAGTTTTCTGGATGACCTGGATGGTTGAGAAGGATGACCCAGAGACCTACTTAGATTCATTTGAATGCCTGGTGACAGTGGCAGGCTGGGACATGAGCTGGTGGGCTCCCCAGCTTGGGCCACTACTAACAGGGTGGGTCCAAGCCACCTATTGCACATTTTCCTGCACTGAGCCCTTGGACTATCAGACAGTTAAAGATGCCATTTTATATCACCTGGAAATTTCTCCCAAACACTACAGGCAGAAGTTTCGGGCCAAAAGAGGCAAAGAACAGTGGCAACCAACTGCTGAAGGATATGGGAAGCCAGAGGAGTCATGCATTGGATAATCACGCTGGAGGGCTGTGTCATACACAAAGCTTGGAAGCAAATTCCCCACAAACTCCATGAGGCCATCAAGGTAGAGCTGGGGAAAATGCTAGAGAAAGGGATAATCTGGGAATCCAGGAGCCAGCAGCACAGTCTTCTAGTCATATTGCCCAAGGAAGATGGGGCTCTGCGCATATGCATAGACTTCAGGAAATTGAATGTGGTAGCCAGGTTTGATGTGTTCCCAATGCCAAGCATAGAGGAGATGCTAGAAAAGGTAGGACAGTCCCAATTTATCTCCATACTTGATATGACAAAAGGGTACCGGCAAATACCCATGGCAGCAATACAGCAGGAAAAAACTGCCTTTGGCACACTGTGGGTTCTGTTCAAGTTCTGGTGTATGATGTTCAGCCTCCACAGTGTGGCTGCCATGTCCCAAAGACTCATGGACCGCCTCTTAGTGCTCCAACAAGTGTACGCCTCGGCTTCCAGGTGGGGCAGGGTCAGATATGCCTGGTGAAAGATGAAGTCAGGGCCATATGCTGCTTTGAACAGCCGAAGATGGAAGAGCAAATCTGCTCCTTCTTGGGACTCACCAGTTATTATCAGAAGTTTATTTTGCAGTTTTCAGAAATAACCATGCCATTAACAGATTTAAACCAAGGCCACCTCCCAAACAAGATTCAGTGGACACCTAATGCACAAAGGGCATTCAAACAAACCAAGCTAGCCTGGTGCCAGAGCCCTGTGTTATACACTCCTGATTTTAATTGCCCCTTTATTTTACAGACAGATACCTCTGGGATTGCAGTAGGGGCAGTCTTGACACAGGGTAAGGACTCAGAGGAGTAGCCAATAGTGTATGAGAGTCATAAATTGCTCCTGCCTGAACACCAATAATCTACTACTGAGTGGGAATGCCTGGCCATCAAATGGGCTGTGGAGTTGTTTAGCTACTACCTACCGGGCAGACTGTTTATGCTGGTGACAGATCATTCCCCCCTAAGGTGGCTCTCATCAGTAAAAATGAACAACACTTGGATTGGTAGGTGTTAGTGTTGCAACCCTTTATTTCACAGTATGGCACTGGCCTGGAAGGAAAAATGTGTTTGCAGATTTTCTTTCCTGCCAGCACGAGGAGGAGGAAGTACTGCATGAACCTGCAGGCTCCAGTTCGGATCTTGAGTCAAGGAGAAGCACACCAATTGGACGCAGCCTGGCAATCGATCAGATGGAGGAGTGTGTGACAGGCTCACACCCCACTTACCCTGGCACCAGTGTCCTGCTGGTCGGTCTGTGGGAGGATCAGTCAGCACCACATGGCCAGAAGAAGTCCCGCTGGTTGGTCCGACACCTGGAAGCCCAGGGCATAAAACGAATCAAGGAGCTGAACCACAGCAGGGAGAAAAGAGAGCACCAGCAGCAGAACTGGATGCTCTCCCTGTGGTCAGAGCAGAGCCACTGTGTCCTTGTCAAGGGATTGCAGCCAGAGAAAAAGTACCTGCCAGTCCCATAGCTGGAGCACCTAGAACAGGGGGACTTCCCCGAGAGCAGAATCACCTGGTGAGACCTGAGGACACTGAGACCAACTCAGCACAAGGGAGAAGTTCAGGAATGCACAGGTCAGCTGGGGTTGGGATAGTGTCCCAGTGGGCACTGCCAGGGCCCACAGCAGGGAAGTCCCCGCTCGGAAATTCTTCCATCCCCCTCACCCCACCTGCGTGACTGCAGAGTCAGAGCCTCCCAGTAGGGAGTTACCAGAATCATGAGTGTCGTGTTGGCATGAAGAAACACTCCACAGGACTTTACGGTATGTGGCCAGGTGCTAGCCGGCCCAAGGCACAGGTTCAATCCAGGGACACCTGCAATGTGAGACCACGAGTGCACCGGGTGAACTCTGCCTCAAAAAGTTCCAAACACTGAGACGAAGCACTGGGCACAACGGGCATCATTGCCCTGCCGACCGTGTCATCCCAGTTGTTTTAGTTTAAGTCTTGTTTGGTTGCCCATTTTGTTAGCCCATGAGGCTGTGGCCATACTTCTTCAGGGAGCTGTCAGACAAAGCCTGAATGCGGGAACACTGGCACCTTCATCACTCCAGGATACCATCAAAGCTGATCCATACCACTTGAGCTCAAAAGGGTGGAGTGTAGGGGAAGAGGAGTCCCACAGAAGAAGTGCCAACGGAGTCACCCAGGGCCCAAGGGAGATCACTGAACGACATCTTCAGGTAAAACCCAGGCAACAAGTCATGGTGGGCAAGTAGACCTCAGTGTGACAAAACCAAACAGGCAGAGCACGCCATTGATGGTGCAGTGATCGTGAGCCTGCCGCAATCACACATAAGCAAGACAACTCATATCAAGTACTGAAAGTTCATGATTGTGATTCATCCCTAGAATGGGGAGATAGACACTCGCAATAAAAACCTTCAGTTTAATTTTGAATAACAAATTTGAGGAAATTTTTTTTGCATCTTTGGCCATATTACTACCCCACTGAAGTCAACTGAAGTTGTTAGCTTCACTGGGTTTTGGATCCAGGTAAATTATTGAGTCATGGTAAGCAGCTGTCCAACAGGGGTCACTGTAAAACCAGTATGTGGTTGACACTTGGACCAAAGGAAAAAATGTAATCTCTGTGTTATCCACTCCAAACCTGTTTTATCCTCTGAATAATTTTTGAGATATAGATGCTTTCCTCTTTTGACAAATGACCACCTTAGGCACAGACTCCAGTTATCCTCATTGCAACTTTATTCCTGTGCCTCTTGAAATCAAGAGAGAAGAAACCTGTTATTTTGGTCATGCTTTGGAAAGCATGAAAGAAGGTGTGTATATATGGCTTTAAATAAATCAGTGTGTATATAATCTACACATCACACAGATGGACTGCCTTAGTCACCAGGCAGCCCTGGGCATCTCCGCTAGCCCATGGATTACTTGGGTTCAGGTTTGAGATTATGATAATAAATGAGAAGTGTGCCTGTCTGACTGCAATGCAGTGGAAGGTGAAAAAATCCAGCTTGTTATCCTGCTCAGAGAAAAACACTCTGGCATTCAAGTGGGGAAAATATCTTAGCAGTGCCTTGAGAGGTGGGTGCAATAAACAGCCCTTCAATAATATCTTTTTTCCCTTTGGAGGTTGAAAGTTTCAAGAACATATGCTCCCAATATACTTAGCAAAAAGCCATTTCAACCTGTGTGTTGAAATAAAAAGAAGTGTACTTCATTTGCTCAATAATGCATGAGTTCCACCAGTCGAAGAAGAGATAAACCCAGAAGGCCAAATTGTCCCAGTCTAACTGCGAGCACAGTTTAGTCATTTGTGAAAAGTCTATAGCTGTCTGCTATGTGGCAGGATTAATAGTTCTGTCAAGGTACAAGGCTTGCAAGCAAAGAGGTTGCACATCTTGCAAACGACAAGGTTGATGCTTCTTATTGGACCAGCAAATGGAGGCACACACAGGATTCATTTGCATTTCAGAGACTGAACTCTGGATCTGGTTTACTGACATGCATACACTTATTGCAAGTTAACTGTCAGACTGAGACTGATGTTATACATACATGACTCTCCAGCTAATACTCTGCACCTCTACAGGTGAGAGACAAAGTCTGGTCTGGATTTAGTTATTTGACAAGGGTTCACATTCTCTGAAACTTTGCATCCTGTGGACAGCAATCCATGGCAGTGTTTTTCACTTTTAGCACCCGGTAGCATGAGGATTTCCAATAATTCCTTTTTGAATATCCTAAGTATCAAAGCTGACATTGTCTTTAAACCCAGGCATCCTTTAGTAAAGACACAGCCCCAGTGTAGACTTAAGTTGGCTAGAGGCAGCCTCACACCTAATGAACAAGGTTACTAATTTTCTACTTTCCATTGGTTTCCTTCTCCTCTCTCTTGCAAGCCAGTGACTAGGGGATGGGGAACATTTTACAATATGTATGCACCACTTTTGTTTCAGGAAAGGCAAAAAAAAGCAGAAGCAGACTCCAACAGATGGGCTAGGATATCTGGATCCAGATAACTCCTCTCCCAAAGGACATGGCGATATGCTGCCAAACATTTAACAGGGGTTCTGCTGAAGTCTGTAGCCTCCACGAATGGTATATATGACATGTCATGGGTCAAATGGTTTCACATAGTAGGAAAATCCATGAATGTTTCCACTATTACCGTGGCCCAGTATTTCATGACTTACTGTGCTTGCCAGGCACATAGTAGTGCTTCTGGTTAGCTGCCTTACATGGAAGCTACTCCTCACAGTGACAGCAGTAGCGGTAGGAGCTAGCTGGCAGTGGCAACAGAGAAGAGCATGCCCCTTCCCTTATAGACCAAGGCAGTGCATTGAAGAATGGAATTTCCTTGAGCTCTTGAGGTGGGTAGGACTTCCCTTCTTGCTTGAAGTTTCCACTTGTGTGTGCGGGGCTGGACCCTAACTTGTGCTGCCAGAGGACTCACACTTGTGCTGACTGAGCAACAGCTAGCTCAGAAACAGCTGAAAATTGCTGACAGTCAGTCAGTCTCAATGCTTCTGGGTGGGCCTGCAAAACAGGTGTAGTGCAGGCTTTTTTTTTATTGCCTAGGACATAAAATCCTGATTCTTGCTCACCAGTCTGATGTGTCTTTGAATAAACTTGGCTTATGTTCTGTTCGGAGAGGACACACTTTAGAACAGACTAGTAATGTAACTAGTTACGTTATGTGAAAAATGTGAGGAGTGGAAGATGGGAGAGGACAGAAGTCTTTTGGAGTCTCCCAACCTTCTGCTGTGGCAGGATGCTCATTCTTTTAATGCTAGTCATTGGTTTACTGGTTTAAATTTGCAAAGCTAATTTCACAAGAAAAAGGGACTAACTGATTACAAAACCAAAAGTGAGATTCTCCTTCACAGGGCCAATAAGCTAGCTCCATTAACAACTTGCTTTTCTAAATTCTTTCCAGGGTATCAGTGCATGCACAACTATGCAGATTTGAGCTAAGGGGTAAGGAGATGGTCAAAACAGTAAAAAAGACATGCTTGATTTTGAATGGGTGACACTTTCCCCATTCCTCTCTCCCTACTAATCATATTGCAGAAGAAGCAAAAATGCAGTCATTTCTTAAATGGTAGCAAGATTTTCTTATGGTTTTCATATGGTTCTGCTATGCCCACATGGCGTCCATAGAATGGAGACATCCACTCTTTTCTGTCACAACCTCTCATCACCATTAGGAATTTAGGCAATCAACATGGTCCTGTCCTTCTGGTATCAAAATCTCCCTCAGTTCTCTACTCCTCAGGATCTGGAGTCTATCTTTCTAATTTTGTTCTGGTTTACATTTCAGTTGTACTTGGATGATTGTCATTGTCTTCAGTATATGCATATTTTTTCTCTCTCACTAACTCAGGCCAGAAGAAACAAAGATCCTGCCAAACATTTTGAAGAAGGTTGGCCACACTCCTATGGTTCAAATCAACAAGATTGGAAAGTCCTATGGGCTCAAGTGTGAGCTCTGTGAGTATTGTCCTTCCTCTACTCTTCAATTTTTCCAAAGAGTAACGTCAGGGGGGGTCCACTGACTGGGGGTGTAAGTGTCACAGCTGGAAACTATGGATTCTATGGTTTTATTCTGGAAGGGAGAGGCTGTTTGGATTTTTCTAATAACGTCATATGTGTTGGGAATGCTTAGTATTTTTCAGAATTAAGCCCATAATGAGAAGCAGCAGTGTCACAGGCCCTGTGACAGCTGTTTGTAAAGAATTCCTGCTTCTATTCCATTGCAGGGGCTGGAGGGGATGAGAAAACAGTGGTAAAGAAGCCATCCACATCATGCAAGTGCCCATTACTGTAGTATCTGAGCACCTCACTATCCTTAACATATTTCTTTTCACTACATCCCTGGGCAGTATGCCTGTGTGAGTCGGCAGCGATCCGATCTGGCTTCGGATCTGGCTGCTTCGGATGGCCGTGATCCAATCTGGACCTCCAGACCGGGTTTCTGCCTCAATCCGGACGAATCGGCTCCGAAGCTTCGGAGCTGCCTCCGAGATCCAGCCATAGGGTATAATGGGGAATCAATGAAATATCTATAACTTTGTTGTTTTTTGTCCTATTTGGATGAAACATACAGGGATGGTAGCCTCTGCTGAGAGCATGACACCTGCTAAGTTTCAAGAAGATTGGTGCAGGGGTTTGGGGGAAACTGTACCCCAAATTCATGAAAGCAAAACTCATGTCATGGCTATTTGTTACACTACAGGGGGGAGAAAACTGCAGGGGCTGAGGCCCCTGGTGAGGCCACAAAGCCTGCCAAGTTCCAAGAAGATCGGTGCAGGGGTTTAGGGAAACTGTACCCCAAATTCTTGAAAGCACAACTCCTGTCATGTCTGTGTGTGCAAGGGTGGTAGCTCTCACTGAGGCCACAAAGCCTGCCAAGTTTCAAGGAGATAGGTGCAGGGGTTTGGGGGGAACTGCACCTCAAGCTGCAGACAAGCAAAACTTGTGACATGGGTGACACTGCAGGGTGTTAAGGCACAGCAGGGTGACAGCTGCAGAAATGCTGGGCCCTGCTGTGGCCACAACACCTGCCAGTTGTTGAGGAGATTGGTGCAGGGGGGTTTTGGGGCCCTGCACCCCTAGCTGCTGACAGACAAAACTCGTGGCATGGGTGCTTGCTGTGTCATCTTGGGGCAGTTGATTGTCTGTATTGATTCTTTCCTCTCCTTAGTCTGGTTTTGTAGGTGCTAACTGATGGCAATTAACTGGCTACATTAACTAGGTCCTGTGTATTGAGCTGGTCCCTGAGTGAATCATGATTGATTGGTAACTGGTAGCTTAGCAGCCAGACCTGCAGTAGTGTCTCCCATGCCCCAAGACAGACACAGTGGCACAAGCACCCATGTCATGAGTTTTGTCCATCAGCAGCTAGGGGTGCAGGGCCCCAGAACCTCTGCACCGATCTCCTCCACAGCTAGCAGGCTTTGTGGCCACAGCAGGGGCCACCATCCCTGCAGCTGTCACCCCGCTGCGCCTTAAACCTGCAGTGTCACCCATGGCACGAGTTTTGCTTTTCCACAGCTTGGGGGGCAGTTCCCCCTAAACCCCTGCACCAATCTTTCTGAAACTTGGCAGGCTTCATGCTCTCTGCAGAGTCTACCACCCCTGAAAATGTCATCCAAATGGACAAAAACCAACGAAGTTATAGATATTTTATTGTTTCCCCATTATACCCTATGGCCGGATCTCCAAGGCGGCTCCGAAGCACTTCAGGAAGCCTCACGAGGCCAGCACTTCGACCCGGACATGCTGCTTTGGACCCTGAAACGTCCGAAGTTTCTCCGGATCTGAAATTCTGTCCGAAGCTTCGCACAGCCCTACTGGGCAGTAGGAAAGTGCTGTTATCTCTCTTTCAGAGCTAGGGAATGGGGCTGGCTCTTAAAGACTAAAAGATCCAGCCCCACCAAGGTGCAAAACTTCCTTTAAATGCCTTAACCCCCACTGAAATCTGGTAGGGTTTAGATCACCTTGAGGTCAACCATATTTTTAGATCTGGCCCTATTAAGTGACTTGTCCCCAGTCACTTGCCATGGCTCTTGAAACCCTGTCTCCCAAGTCTAAGTCGCCTGAAGGTGGCAGCATCTCTCCTGCCTGCCATCTGCCTGTATAGTTTCTAGTGTCAGGTTGAACTAGCAGGCCTCCAGATGCTAATCTTACAGCTTTCAGATCTTTTAGACAGATCACTGAAAAATAAACAAGATCTTGATTAAAAATAATGCAAAGGGATGCCTTTTTGCAGTTTTTAACCATAAATTCATAATTTGCTCTTATGGAGAACACATATCAGCAGAGTCTCCCAATGCCTGAGGAAGGGTGTTTGTGCCCAAAAACTTGCAAAGAACTTTTCCCCAACTATTTAGTTGGTCTAATAAAAGATATCACGTCTACCCAAAGAACCTTGCCTGCCTAATTTGTTCTTACATTTCCTCATAACCAAAATGTGACTCATTATATAACTTACCATGGCAAGCTATTCATTTTAGTAACAACAACCTTCTGTCCTCCCAACCCACAACAGAGCAGCCAGACTCGCATTCAAAATACTGACAGTTTTTCCAAGAATAACACAGTTGGTGACAGGTCAGGTTATTTCCCCAGGGGCTTTAGGTGTATATCCCACACTCTTCTAAATCAATGCAGGCAAGTATAATGAGGACCTATGACAACAAACCAGAAGTCAGAAGCCCATATTGAACTAAGCTTGGATTTGGGTGATGATGATCCTCCCTGCTAATACATTTTAAGTAGCTGTGTATGTGCTGTTTCTCAGGGAAGAGGGGGAGCTCCTGATCCCAAGCGGTAGGGACATTGGCAGCTTTGGTAGAAATATATGAATGTTGGGGTGTGCCTAGAGGGGGCTGGGGTAGTTGAGTGCACAGTGGGATACATGGAGTTGGTAGAGGCTGCAGGATGTGGGAGTGCTGAGATTTGGGTGGGAGGAGCTATGTGGATGTGTTCAGGGGAGATCCAGGGCCTTTCTCTTCTGTCCTGTCCAGCTGCTGCTCCTCTCTTCTGACTGCTCCTGCATCATGCAGGTCCAGCAGAGGGAGCAGTGAGGCTGGTTACGCAGCAGATGCTGCAGCAGCTCTCCGCTGCCAGGTACAGCCACTGTGGAGGCTCCTTTAGGCTTGCAGCCTGCAGGGCCAGGGCTGGCAGAGGCATGTGTAATGCAAAATTTCTTACGTCGAACAGCCCTGTAAGGGCGCTCTAAGGGGTGTTTGGCACAGAAAGAACTCAGGAACAATTCTGCTCCTTGCAGCACTATACCTACACTCCTGGCGGCCCTAGGCAAACTTTTAGTATCGGGCCTCCCTTTGCCAGAGATGATGATAATAATAATTGGACAACAGGAAAAAAATTATAATTTTCAAGCCCCCTAACTGTCCATGCCCTGGATGGCCATGTCTGGGTCTGGCACCTTGTCAATGAAACATGCTGGAGGTGTGTGCCAGGCTTGCTGGATCTGGGCCAGGATGTATTGTTTGGCTTCCTCAACCCTGTAGCATTGCTCAAGCTTTGAGGAGCCCCATGGCCTCTGTGATTACATTTACCGTTGGGACTCCTCTCAAGCACCCACAGGCACTCCCTATGGAAATGCAACACATATTAGCCAGGTTCATCCATCAAATGTTGGCTATGTGATTAAATACGTATAAAGACAAGTAGACTAACATTGGGCTTTTAAGCTTGTGGAGTGAGCCAGGTTTTCCAGCAGGAGCAGAAGTTTCTCACCCCTGCAGAGTGTACCTCTGGCTTTCTCCTCATGAGGTGTGGTAGTAAAAGGATAATAGTCCTTTTATTATCAGAATAAGCTCTAAGCTCCTTCTTTTCATCATCTTTAAGCTAGTTTGTGATCTGCAGAGGTTGGATCCAGTTGTCTTCCTGTTTATGAGCACTGAGGCTGGGCAGCACTTCTTTCACTGTGATGCACACTTTGTTCCCTTTTCTCTGTCTATTTTGGGCACACTTATGGCCTACAGCATCAGTGCACTTGACCATTTTTAACATAAGTATTTTTCCTCACACTGCCACCATGAGGGAGGGCAGTGCTATTATTTCCATTTCACAGGTGAGGAACTGAGGCCCAGAGAGACTGGCCCAGGCACATGCATGAATTCTGTGGCAGAGCAAAAGATTCCAGGATGCCCCATGAACAGTTTTAAAATGTCCTCAATATAACATAGGCACAGTACCACAAATGACAACAAGGCACTGCCGGACTGTTGTAGTTGTTTTGAAATGGGAGGAGGTGTCATATAGATAGATTTGCTCATCTCTAGACCTATGTCTTGTAGGTACATATTGAAATCGTTTTTATTCTTTTATTTCTTTCCTATAATATTCATAGCTCGGGAGGAGGCAGCTGCTGCCAATCCGGTGCCTGTTCTAAGTTAGCTGGTGCTCCATTTGCCCACTCCTGGCCTGTCCCTTAAAATGAGCTGCTCTTTTCTGTGAATTTAGCCTTTTAATTTTGCTTCTTCATTTAGCCAGGTTATGTACTTCTCTTGGATGGAGTCCTCTTTTTGGCAGAGTTGGGATATGTGATGCTGTTAGTTTTATTCTATGAGCCAAATACATTGCATTATCTCTGATTGCAATGGGATTTTGTTTTTGTTTTTTTGAGTGCACAGCTGAGTTATTATTTCTGTGTGAAAGTCAGGGAGGGTCTTTTTTCCCCTTAGTGATAGGAGAGCTATGTATTTCCCTGAGGGTTAGTCTAAAAAGTGATATTAATCCAGATTAGTTTGTATACTCCATATACACTAATTAATGATATCAAACCCAAAACCAATCTGTACCACTTTCTTATGCTGGGTTATAGTACTTCTCTTGCTACTCACTGTCACACAGCTCTGTATGTTTTCAAATGTTCTGTATAACATTCTGGGTAAATATCCCATGGTGCAGTGTTTTACTGCTCAGTTTTATCCCTTCTGATATTTTTCTTGTGGCACATT